GTGGTTCAAGGACTGTGTTGCAGAATCACTTTTCATTTGTTCAGTGGGATGGATAATGTGCGATGAATAATTTTATTCTACGAAATGACCCCTGGGGATGGATAATGTGCGATGAATACTTTTCATTCTTCCAAAGAACATTAAAAGGTATTGATGCTCCAGTCCATGCTTGAGATTTTGCAAATGCCCTTAACATGCACTGGAAATGTGGATGTGGGTAGGAGGGGGCTTATGCTAGATTGCTATAAAACAATGTGACAATGTTGAGTTGATCAGTGTTGAATGCAAGAGTAATTTTAGGAGAACTTCAACAGTTTAGAGTAGCGGATGGCATTAAGTGTAACGTGGTTTGCATCCACTCTTACCCCCAGTACTCATCCCATAGACTTGCTTTTACATTATTCACATTACAAAAATGCATCTCACATCTTCCTTTTGATGGTACTATGACACTGGTTCAAGTGTTGCTTGTTTCTCATCTACTAAGCATGTTAAATATTCTCACTGGTCTCCCATCTTTCTTATTCTTTCCATCCTCAATTCTGTCTTGTTTCTATAGCAATTTGTTCTGATAATGTACCACCTTCCTGTTTTTCCTCTCAGCTTGCAACCTTATTTGTCCCTGTTCATTTCTCACTGTTCAGGATCTTATTTCTTTCTCCTTCTTCCCCTGGATTTATCCTTCTGTGCTCTCCTTCTCTGGGTTGGATCCCGACTAAATTTTATACTCACGTCAGGTACTTCTGTTAGTGACCTCCCCCAATCCACTGATCACCCCAAAATGCTGCTCCTGGGGGACAGGGGCCCCTCAGGAACAGCATGAGAAATCAGGGGTCTGGTGCAGGAGGAAGGAACTGGTGGAAATCACCCCACCCTTTCCATTAGTGGAAAATTTAGTCTGGACTCAACCCCCCATTCTTTTGACACTCTTGTTTTTGATCATTTGCTCTAGCAGTCCCCTGTGCCTAGAACTCCAAAGTACTTCTATCCATTTCTTGTTTATCTTTTAAAATTTACCTGTCTCACACATTTTTTGAACTTGTCATTAGAGCCCCATTTGATCAGACCAGTGGTCCATCTAGGTCAGTACGGTTTCCTGCAGTGAACAGATACCTCCGAAAGCCCACAGGTAGAAGTGCAGAGGTATGTAACCTCTGAACACGGAGGTTCCATTGAGCTATCATGGCTAACAGCAAATGATGGACCTATGTTTTATGTGCTGGCCAATCCCCTAAATCCAGTTTTTGTTGCTTTCCTTCTCTTCTTCCTTCACTCACTCTCAGTTCTCTTTTACACTATGGACCTACAAGGCAGAGAATTATCTTTCTAAATTATATAGCACCTAGCAACATTAGCATTTTGACAATCAAATATAATAATACCTAGGCCTTTTCCTAATCCCAACCAATTTGTTCTACGATCAATTCAAATATTATACAGGCACGTATGTATGCATGCATGTAGTTCTATTAGCTCAGGCTAAAAATTCATCTGTCTAGTCACTTACCAGTATAAGAAACTGGTATTCTGTGTCTTCTTACCAAATTGTAAGCATTGTACCACTCCCCTGACCCTCAGATCTGGTCTGGAAGCATGGTAAAGAAATTGGTAGGATGTCACACAGGCCAGATGTATGCAAACAATACAAGGGAGGGTAAAACTGTCAGTGGACTGTACGATTTCAAAGCACAAGTGGGTATGTTTGAATACTGCTCCAGAGGAGTAGGAACTATTAAACGTGCACTAACCTAGCAAGTCCACAATTGAAGGCTAAGCTTGAACCCTTTTGTCTATTATTGTTAGGTGCAGCCAGATGGACAAATTATGCACCTCTTTGCTAGCTGACCCATTGAACACTTGGGTCTTCTTTGCTCTTAAGCAACTGGTGATTTTGTTTTCTAGCTCTGGAAGGCTTTGCTAGCTGTACATTAATGAAAAAAATGGTAAATGGGTTTGGGGTGTTGTATTAAGGAAGAAAAGGTTACTCCTGGGCTAATTCTGAAACTTCTACAGAACAGGTTTCTCCTGTACTGTAGCCGCATGCCCATCTTTGTAACACACTGCAGAATGGGGGGAAAGGGCCCAGTGGCCAAAGCAGTGGTATAGAAGGGCAGGTAGATGATGGGCAGCAGAAACCAGAATGTTTCTAGGAAATGATCCACAGAAGGAAAACATACACTGGCTTAGGAGACAGAACCTCACAAGCAGCCACATGCACATGCACAACAAGTTCCTGTTTGTTTGAACTTCCACAACCACTAAGGCATCAGCCACAATGTGTAGCCTTTGTAGAATGGAACCAAAACAGCAGCAAGCACCATCTTGAGCTAAGATGTATATAGAAGTAGCTTTTGTGTAAAGAATTTTAACTGCTGATTTAATGCCAGTGAAACCACCACCTTTATTTTTTAAGAAACCTTCTTATTCTGGCTGGCCAGATGGACAAATTATGTACCTCTTTGCTAGCTGACCCATTGAACACTTGGGTCTTCTTTGCTCTTAAGCAACTGGTGATCTGTACATTAATGAAAAAAAGGGTAAACAGGTTTGAGGTGTTGCATTAAGGAAGAAAAGGTTACTCCTGGGCCGATTCCCAGGAATACATCTGAAATGTAGTTAGCTAATGAAGGTGACCAGGAGTTGTTCAAGGCACCAAAGCCTTACTATATTATCTCTGCAAATCATCCAACTGCCCAGCATGGAACTTAAGTCCTCTACACAGCCAGCCGGCATGCTTCCAAATTTAAGCTTTCATAAGATTTCATATTTGCTCAGTAAACAGTATGTTCATATGGAATGTCTACGGCCAAATAGCTCAATCCTAACTACTTATGCTTTTTAAGTAAGAAAGATTTCTCAGGGAGCCTATTCTCATCGCTTCCCAAATAAACAGAGGGCAACATGTTTGTGACAAAACAGCATAGAGCAGAAAGGGTGGGTTCATCTGAAAGTGAAGTTATAGATTACAGAATAATTCTACAAGGATTCTTACAGAACCATTTCTGCATGCTTAGAAGCCAGGGGGGAAACAGAAAGTCTTTTGCAAAATGCATTTGCTTGAATGGTACTGTATCCAATATGCTGATAGAAAGTGTAAAAATTGGAATGTAATTTTTTAAAATGTCATTTGGAATATTTCCCATTATTATTCCAATATGTGGGATAAGATATCAAAATAATTAATAACAGCATATTTAATCTTCTGATTTATTTTTGGCGGCTACAGTTCCTAGCTTTAGGATTAATGATACAATTCATTTACCTCATGTTTAAAAACAAGGTATGTTTTAACTTGGAACTGTAGTGGCAATCGGTTCAGTAGGAAATAAAATACAGTACTTCTTCATGGATTCAGGTGTCCTTAAGATTTATGGCTGCATTACACATTATCCATTTTCTACATGTGAAACACTTTGGTGCAGGGAACAGCATGAAACCCACATGCAGATCATTCTCCATGTTATATCATCACACACCCAGACACATATGTATGTGCAATTACCCACACAAAAGTTTAACGGCAGATTACATGCTATTTCCAATACAAAAGTAGTTTCCATGCTGGAAAAAGAGGCATGCATGGAATGGCCCCTACAAGGTCTTTCTTAACTGAAAAAGGCAAAAATTGCTCTTCCCAGCAGTAGGCACAGTAAGCCCCATTTCCCTACCAGTTTTCCCAGAGTGTGCCTAGGTGACAGATGAAGGAAATTCCCAGTGACTGGGTTTAAAAACAAAACAAAATGATTTGTGTTACGAGATACAAAACCACAAAAGGAGGAGAACAAGAACAACACCCAGTCCTCTTAGATGGCACAGCCCACAGCAGGCTTCTCAGTGACTACTGATGACTACTCAAGTTGCTACAGTTGATCATGATCACTCCTGATAGCAACCAGCTCCTGACCAACTATTCAGTGGTGCATGTGTCCTATGAACCACATACACAAAACCCCAAACCCTGAGCTCTAGAGTGATCATGATGAACACATTTTGTGATATGTGAACACACACTTCCCAGACTTCCAGAGAGGAATTTTAACTCTGCTCTACAACGCACACAGTGACAGACCATCTGAAAGGTTTTGATTGCTTGCTAAGGCATGGAGTAGGTGCAGGAGTGCCAGGTCTTCTTAATTAAAGGCTTTGTGCCTTCTTAAAAGGCTTTGTGCCTTAATGGCTTTGTCCCGTATGAAAAACACCAGGGGAAACATTGACAGGCAGTGATGTAAAAGAGTCTCCTTGTAGGCAGGGACAGCCTGCACCTGTTGCTTAACACAGTTAAGAACTTGATCTCTGGAAGGACCTCCCTCTGTGGCCAGTGATAAACAAGAAGCCAAGCATAAGGAGAACAGGTTTTTTTCAGCTGCAAGGCCCCGGAGAATGTTGACATATCTATCCTTGTACACACACTGTGTGTACCACAGACTGTCAACCATTCTAAAGGATAACCAGCTCAGTTTGGTATGGAAAGTGCTTTATGCTGAAGGGAGTGGGAAGATGGGAACAAGAAAAAAAATATTATCTGAAGTAACTCTTTTCCCTTCCTTCCTTGTAAGCTTCAGCAGCACAACTTCAACAAAAAACTTTAAGACAACATAGTGAGCACCAGAGAATTAAACCTGGACATGCAGCACATTTGTGGGATGAGGTGGGACCAAAGGAGAAAACTCAGCATTGTTTTGGGATGAGGAAGGGGATTGGCACTAAATAGTTTTCCATTGTCTTTTATCCTTGCAGCTAGAGGTAGTGTCATTTCTGTCCAGTATCTAAAGCAGTGCAAAATCCAGTTACACAGTTATGTCATTACAATCCAGTAACAGTACCCCCCACAAGTGGTGAAAGTGCATGAGAACCAAGCCAAATTAGGATTCACAGACCAAATGGACCAAACCTTATATAAACACGCCCTGTGTATCCACAGAAATTATATAATATATATATGATATATATATATATATATTTATAGATTCATTTATTTACAATAGCAGAGTGATGTTTGGATCTAGCGGCATTTTAAGAGGTACAAGTCTCTGCTCATTTCCTTTCTGGTTCCAGGCCTTCAGTTTTTTATTTCCAGGATGGATGGGTTATGGTCTAGAATGGCGAGGATAATCTTGTCCATGTATTGGCGCAATCGGTAGTTTATCTCCTCTTGTTCTTTAAGGGCTTCCATCAGCTGAAAGAAAAGCAAACATAATACATTTGTTGCAAGGTAACAACTGCTCCATATTCTTCAACGAACAGTTCCAGGTAGTGATGGAGAGAGAGATTTCTAGTCTCCCACCTCCCCTACTCCCAACTCCTCCATGTCACTGAGGGCATTGCCTTGGGCAGAGCAAGGGACAATCCCAGGCCTCCTCTTCTAAACACTGTCCGAGCTTCTATTCCCCTACATTTGGGGTCCATTTAGTTGGTCCTCTTAACTCAATGAAAGCTCCTCGGGAAGAAGCTGGATGTCTTCAAGATGGGGCTACAGCACTATCTATCGGCTGAGGATGCTCCAGCTTTGGATTTCCTGCTCTGAGCTAGGGGCAGTAATAGATGGCCTGTAACAGCCCACCAGCTCTCATGTCATGGGTGGCAAGTAGGTTGTGTCTCAACCACAGTACTGTCCTCTCAAGTGCATCTGGGTCCTCCAGCAAAGAATGTAAAGGGATACCAGTCAGAGATGGGGAACATTCCCTGCCTTTGGGGACCCCAGCTATTAAAAATCAAACAAGCACCCACGGGTACATCCTAGGCTTCAGTTCTGTTTCTTGGCCATATTGTGGTGTGACAGAAAATTGGGAAATTGTTATATTAAAAAAAAGGGATGAAGATTACTGTTAATCTAATCTATTAGGCTGGATTCAGCAATCCATCAGTGGAACATACTGATAGTCACAGATCTTTCCCAATTTATCCTTCCAATAGCAGTCACTTCCAACAAAGGTAAAGTTGATTCCTAGAATAACAAATTGGGAAATGGTTATATTTAAAAAAAGGGATGAAGATTACTGTTAATCTAATCTATTAGGTTGGATTCAGCAATCCATCAGTGGAACATACTGATGGTCACAGATCTTTCCCAATTTATCCTTCTGATAGCAGTCACTTCCAACCAAGGTAAAGTTGATTCCTAGAATCACGCAGAACATTATTTTTCCACTCAATTAGTCTGAAATGTATCCAAGATATAAATATATCCTTTAAACTTTGTTGAAAGTTTAATTCTGGGTGTAATCTGAAACAGAGTCCTGCTTTTAAAGATAAGGGTATACTTGGATTATGCCTCACCACACATTTCAATCAGGACTGTGAAAGGGGCTTTTTTAAACCTAGATTCTGAAAACTGAACCAACTATGCAAAACAAGCACATCTGCATGTTAGTAGGAATGGGCATTCTAATCTGGGTCATTAAAAATGGTAGCAGAGACCCACTTGGCTGAGGATGGGGTAGAAATACATTGCTGAACATTCTGTAATATGGTCAACAACAATGATCACACAGGATACCTGAAGATATGGAGGCATCTTTTTTTTTAAAAAAAAAAATAATTCTTTATTAATAGGAATATATGGAGGCATCTTAAGTGTCAATCATTAACCCACTCTGACTAACCAAGTGGGATTACAAAGCTTCTGAGTGCCTGAGAGCCCAGGAGTGTTGAAGATGAAACAATTGGCGGTGGGGAGGGGGAGAGGATGCCTGTCGGGGTCTGGCACGCTATACGCATGTAGAAGCTAAAGGGGATAAAGGAAGGAGCCAAGAGAGGAAGGCATTCCTACGCAAGGACAGATGGACTCACATTCTAGCTATATCTGAAAAAGTGAGCAGTGATTCACGAAAGCTCATACCTGCCACAAATTTTGCTAGTCTTTAAGGTGCTACAGAACTCTTGCTCATTTCTGCTGCTACAGACAGGCTACCCGTCTTGATCTAACGCAAGAATGCAGTCACTTTAGAAGGAAGGCCAAGACTCATAAAACTTGAAACACTGCAATATACTGAAATCGACTATTTATTAATTACAGAACTCTTGCTCAGTGGTTAAGATGCTGAACTGCAGGCTGTGGAAGGTCAGTAGTTCAGCAGTTCGAGACCCAGGGTGCAACAAGACGGAGTGAGCTCCCGTCTCTAGTTGCAGCTCCTGCCAACCTAGCAGTTCGAAAGCAAGAAATTGCAAGTAGATAAATAGGTACCACTTCGGTGGGAAGGTAACAGCATTCCGTGCGCCTTGGTGTTTAGTCATGCCGGCCACATGACCACGGAAACGTCTTCGGACAGCACTGGCTCTTCGGCTTTGAAACGGAGATGAGCACCGCAACCCTAGAGTCGGATTCGACTGGCTTTCGAGCAAGGGAACCTTTACCTTTTTACACAAATCTAAAGCTACTCATTTGCCACCCACCACTGTCCATGTTGTACTGCATTGTACCTTTAGAGACTCTGGATGTTCATAAGCGTTAGAAACCTTCTGAATCTTCTGCTCTGGTTCCCTGTCCCCATGCAATAGCTCCTTTCTATAAGCTCCCTAAATATTAAATTACATTCTCACTTGAGTAACACAACTGAAACATGTTTCTTTTCCAAGTTTCTGGTTTGTTTTTATATCCAATACTTCGGCCTTCTAAGAGACACAGGCTTCACCAAAAGTCTCTGCATGACACAGAAACATGAATTTAATATACATCAAGGCTACAGAACAGGGATGGGAAGCGCTTGGGGGTAAGCAGGGGGCCACCTGCCAATTTTTGGATTACCTTGCACCTGCTAGAAATCTTAACATCCATCAGTGCAAGGACAGACTGGGAGGCGAAAACAGCCCTGGAAAGCTCCCCTGCCCAAGCATGGAGAGAAAGAAGAGTAAGTGCCTGTCTGTGGGCTATTGGGGCAGCTGGGTCACTCCCTTGTAGTGGCAGCACCTCCACTGAGTTTGCTCAATGGCCAGGTGGGGCTTTTGACAAACAGGGTTTCTGACTGGCCGTGCAGATTTTTAAAAAGCTGCTTCAGCAGCAGCAGCCATCCGTGCAGATTTTTAAAAAGCTGCTTCAGCGGCAACTGCCATTACAGCACAAGGAACTTCACTGCATGACGGAAAGAAAGCTGCATGTCTGCAAGAAAACACTTTTAAACAAGATGTTCATCTCTAAAAGCTTCCTATTAGTTATGCATAACCTCACTTCCCTGACATTTTGTGGTTAGCTCCACCACCACCCCCTCCCCTGTCAGAAATCCAAAGGTGCCAACAGGCTCAAAAAGGTTTGGGACCCCTTGGGCTGGCTCATGCAACACAAGGCAGGGGTGGCTCCCAATCTACAGTTTCACCACATACGTTTCTCCATCAGTTCCTAAGTGGATCATAGACAACTGGAAAGAGATGCCATCTTTTCCCCCTTCCCCACCTGACCGGGATGCAAAGGTGTTTGGCAAAAAGAGGAGAAGTAGCATAACAAAGTTCCCAAATATCCTAGGCTGGACATGAAGAGGTGCAAAAATCATAGGAATTGTTGCCAACTCTGACATGTAGGAAGCCTTGCAATTTGGCCACACTGAATCAAATGTTCAAATCTCAGACCCCCCAAAGCCACCTTGTCAGAGTTAAAGCTGGATTTCATAATTCCAGATTTTACAGTTGTTTGGTTGCTACAGGTTTTGCAGGCTGTCTACGGAGAAACGGAATTCGGTTTTTGCTTTGCTTTATCGCATGCTTGCAAGTCATCAGCTGGGAGGGATGACAGTTCAGCATCTCACCTCGTCTCTGGAGGCGGAGTCAATTTCGGCAGCCAGCGACTGGGCTTTTGTCTGTGTTGCAAAGAGATTCTTGGCCTCATAAAGACTAAGACTAAGGATCTGCCCGTTAAGGTCATCATTCTGATCACGAAGTTTCTGATTTTCCTGTTGAGGGGTAATGGAGATGAGCAAGGAAGGTCATTTATTTAGAGTATTTCTATGCCGCCAGTTAGAGGCAGCTTACAATTAAAAAAACACAGTATAAAATACAAGCCGTTAACACACAAGCCTTTCACACACACATATTGACATTATAGAGGAAGGAGGAGGAGGAAGAGGAGGAGGAGATTGGATCTATACCCCACCCTTCCCTACCCAAAGGACTCTCAGAGCGGCTTACAATCTCCTTCCCCTTCCCACAACAGACACTCTGTGAGGTAGGTAGGGCTGAGAGACCTCTTTCCAGAACTGCTCATGAGAGAACATCTCTGAAAGAACTTGTAACTAACCAAAGGTCACACCAGCAGCTGCAGGTGGAAGAGTGGAGAATCAAACCTGGTTCTCCCAGATTAGAGTCTGCGCTCCTAACCACTACACCAAACTGGCTATTATACTGAATACGCAACAATTCAGTCAGCATACCTGGGCTGCTTCAGACTATCATCATCAACAGATGTTTTAGCTCATACTATACAGAGCACTAGCCTGATTCTATGCTAACTGCACAATACGTAGTTCTTATGTAACCGACTGAAGTTATTCCTTCTGGGGGAAAAAGTCTTCCACACTTCATCCTTGACAACCTGCAGCCACTGCTACCTGAAGAGCAATAGTCAACTGGCCACCTTTTCCCATATAGTGAGTCTCTGCCACCAACACTGAAAGAGGCACAGCAGCAGAGAAATGAAGTAACTATTTCCTTCACTAGAGTTTCTGCACTCACATGCCCAGGGGCTGGGGGGAGAGTGGAAATCTGCCCCCCCCTTTTCCTGTACGGGAGCAAAAATGTGGTGACACTGGCAATGGATCTGTCCATCCCACCTCTTCTTAACTTTGAAAATGAAGGGAAGCTACTGGTAAAGAAGGCCATATCAATTTCATATCACCCCATCAAAAGAAGTAGCATCAGGTTTTCTTTTCCTTTCTCTCTTTTATTTGGCCATCAAGTCACAGCAACTCTGTATGGTTTTCAAGGCTAGAGATGTTCAGAGGCAGGTCGCTATTGCCTGGCCCATTGCTTGCCTCTGCATAGCAACCCTAGGCTTCCTTGGTGGTCTCCTATACAATCACTAAACTAGGGCTCACCCTGCTTAGTTTCTGAGATCTCATGAGTTTGGGCTAACCTGGACTATACAGGTCAGGGTGGAGTCGGAATGTACAGTACATATTTTAGTTTTAAAAAGTGAACTTGAATAGTTTCTCCTCCACTTCCAAGGTCCTATCGCAACTCCCAGGCAAAAATAAGACATGATCAATCAGCCTCTTGTCAATTTTGGCACATCTATATGCCTTAGTTTTTAGATGTTTCTAGAACCACCAGTAATGGTAAAAGAGCAATAGAGATGGAACTGCATATCACCGAGCATATCACCCTGCTTAGTTTCTGAGATCTCATGAGTTTGGGCTAACCTGGACTATACAGGTCAGGGTGGAGTCGGAATGTACAGTACATATTTTAGTTTTAAAAAGTGAACTTGAATAGTTTCTCCTCCACTTCCTTCATTTATTTAGAGTATTTCTATGCCGCCAGTTAGAGGCAGCTTACAATTAAAAAAACACAGTATAAAATACAAGCCGTTAACACACAAGCCTTTCACACACACATATTGACATTATAGAGGAAGGAGGAGGAAGAGAAGGAAGAGGAGGAGGAGATTGGATCTATACCCCACCCTTCCCTACCCAAAGGACTCTCAGAGCGGCTTACAATCTCCTTCCCCTTCCCACAACAGACACTCTGTGAGGTAGGTAGGGCTGAGAGACCTCTTTCCAGAACTGCTCATGAGAGAACATCTCTGAAAGAACTTGTAACTAACCCAAGGTCACACCAGCAGCTGCAGGTGGAAGAGTGGAGAATCAAACCTGGTTCTCCCAGATTAGAGTCTGCGCTCCTAACCACTACACCAAACTGGCTATTATACTGAATACGCAACAATTCAGTCAGCATACCTGGGCTGCTTCAGAGTATCATCATCAACAGATGTTTTAGCTCATACTATACGGAGCACTAGCCTGATTCTATGCTAACTGCACAATACGTAGTTCTTATGTAACCGACTGAAGTTATTCCTTCTGGGGGGAAAAGTCTTCCACACTTCATCCTTAACAACCTGCAGCCACTGCTACCTGCAGAGCGATAGTCAACTGGCCACCTTTTCCCATATAGTGAGTCTCTGCCACCAACACTGAAAGAGGCACAGCAGCAGAGAAATGAAGTAACTATTTCCTTCACTAGTGTTTCTGCATTCACATACCCAGGGGCTGGGGGGAGAGTGGAAATCTGCCTCCCGCCTTTCCTGTACGGGAGCAAAAATGTGGTGACACTGGCAATGGATCTGTCCATCCCACCTCTTCTTAACTTTGAAAATGAAGGGAAGCTACTGGTAAAGAAGGCCATATCAATTTCATATCACCCCATCAAAAGAAGTAGCATCAGGTTTTCTTTTTCTTTCTCTCTTTTATTTGGCCATCAAGTCACAGCAACTCTGCAAGGTTTTCAAGGCTAGAGATGTTCAGAGGCAGGTTGCTATTGCCTGCCCCATTGCTTGCCTCTGCATAGCAACCCTAGGCTTCCTTGGTGGTCTCCTATACAGGTCAGGGTGGAGTCAGAATGTACACTACATATTTTAGTTTTTAAAAATGAACTTGAATAGTTTCTCCTCCACTTCCAAGGTCCTATTGCAACTCCCAGGCAAAAATAAGACATGATCAATCAGCCTCTTGTCAATTCTGGCACATCTATATGCCTTAGTTTTTAGATGTTTCTAGAACCACCAGTAATGGTAAAAGAGCAATAGAGATGGAACTGCATATCACCGAGCATATTGTTAAAATCAGACAACAGCAGTATTAGAAATACTGTCATGTTTGTTGGCACTTGAAAAGTAGTACACCATAACTGTGTCAGAAACACCCCAAATTGCTACATACTAGAACTGGGACGGCACATAGGTGAAAAGAATGCCAAAGCTAGGTAGAAATATTCTCTGGATTCTCGCGAATAAATAAGCAAATAGTGGAAGTATTAGAGAAAAAGGCTAGTCTGAAGCCCCTCTAAAGTAATCCACTCAAAGCACCTCCTGCTCCAGAGAGGTGAGGAAAGTCAGGATTGGGTCTCTATTTCTGAGAACAGCAAGTAGATATCAGGAAACACATTCAAGGGCACCATGTGGGATCTCTGGCTGAGGCCTTTACAGTTTTCCAGTCTCCCAAGTTGTACCATGGTTGCCAAGCAATTAAGACATTTCAGTTCAGTCCTGAAAGTTATGGATCCATATGGACCCCTCATGGGGTGATTACATTTAGTCAACTAATTTGCTGGCCTGCACATCAGTGCTGGAGTTGAAGACATTACTAGACCATGAAACATGTGGAAACCGTCTTGGGAGGTGCAGAGGGGATGACTTTTATTGTGCTGTCCATCTCATGCCATGGATTGCACCAGTATCTGCTACTTTTAATAGGCAATTATGGATTTTCACATATTTGTTCCATCCATATTCAGTGACACTAGTCAGCCACACAAAGTTCTCATATCGTGTATGGCACCAAGGGGAATTCATGCAGCTGGCTTTCTGCTTCATGCTGCTGCCTGAGTTTTAGGAGAACGAGACGTTTCATGGTGTGAACCAGTGGTATATGACTGACTGCTAACTATGACCTTCAAATTCATACTTTATAGCCTGAACAGGATCTTGGGCATGTGTACACAGGCCCCCAGGTGGTCATGTGATTCCAATCAAGAACCAAAAGGGTGAGAAGAAAGTCTAATGAAGGGCCAATATTAAAAACCTAGTTAA